CTGGAGGATCTGAGGCGTTCCCAGGCCAGATGAGACATATAATCCATCCAGCAGGTTCTGGGTCTAACCGGGTCTCCTCCCAGGAGAACATGCTTGGAGAACCTCCAAAGGAAGTCTCCTAGGATTCATCCGCATCAGAAGTTCGAACCACTTCCAGCTGAAAGCGACTCTCCGCTGGGCTCCCTCCGGATGTCTGAGCTCCTCTCTGAGACTGAGTCCAGCCACCCTGTGGAGGAAGCTCATCCGGCCACTCAGACCCACGACCTCGTTCTTTCAGTCGCTACCCAGAGCTCATGGATGGATTGTGGACGGCAGATGGAGCCCAGGTGCTGCTCCTTCAGACTCACCTGGCCGCCTCCTCTTCCTCCCTCCTCCTCCTCTCTCGCTCCTCCTCTCGGCGTCTCTGCAGCTCCTTCAGCTTCTCCTCCTTCACTCTGTGCAGATCGTCCAGGACGCTCTGCTGCTTCACCTGCTTCTCCCTCAGCTCCTGAAGCAGCAACACCATGAAGGAGATGTTGAACAAGCAGAGCATCTGTATTCATCAAGCCACAGACAGCAGGGTTCCTCCATCGTCTCAGATTCAGCTCAAAGTTCACTCATTTGGGGCAAAAAAATCAGTTTTGTGAAATATTTTGGCCGAATTATGAGAATCTGCAAATGTTTTCATACATTTTGAAGTGGAATTTCTGTGTTTTCACCCTATAAAACGGCTGTGAAGCCATTTTCAGGGTTCAATATCTCCAGAAATTAAACTCCCGCAAACAGGAAATGTGGTGAGAACACAGAGAGAACAGTTTCCAGTCGACCTAAATGACTGAATGGATCCAACAGAGGACACATTTTTATTTACTGGCCTTTGAAAATAGAAGTATTGTGGCCCCAGAATAATATTTTATCAACTGTTGAGGCTCTGACTTCAGTAGAGTCAGATGTTGGTGTTGCAGGTTATGACAAGACACGGTTCCAGGTTTTAGATATTTTGAATTGAATGACTCCAAATTTTAACTTAAAACCTCTGAAAATGTATTCATAATTTGTCTAAGATACGATTAAAAATGACTTGAAATGTCTCCAAAACTACTCAACTGTGTCACAAAATGGAAACAATGAAGAATTATTGGACCTTGGAAATGAAAAAAAGTGTAAAAAGTGCCAAGAAGAGGTTCCAGTGTTTTGATATTTTAACTTGAAAACTGACTAAAATAGCTGAAAATCTGTCAAAAATGAGACAAAGATCGTCCAAAATGATTTGAAACTTGAAAAAATGACCTAAATTTGTTGGAATTGACTTAAAACATCGACTAAAAACATCAGTAGAATTTGATTTCTTGCAGGACGAGGTTCCATTTTTGTGCTATTTTGACAAAAATGAGCAACAAATGCTTCATTTCTGAACAAAATCTGAGACATGTTTCCTGAATTCTGTTTGATTTGACACAAACTCACCTGACGTGGAGGGTTTTAAAAGCAGTTTCTGCATCTTTAAAAGGAACTGAACACATGCAAAACTAAGAGGAACATGCAGAAACGTACACGTGCAACAAGAAAAGACCATTTATGTCGTTAAACAAAGAGAAACCGTGCAGGTTCGGAGTGTGTTTTGCCTTCAGGCCACTTCCTGTTTACACTGAAAACACAGACACAGGACCAGAACTGGAGTCCGATAATGAGTCGAAAGAAAAATGGGTGGATGAAAAGAAGATGAAGCTGGTGGAGAAGATCAGAGAAGGAAGGCAGGACAACCTTGATGAGGAGGAAGAGCTGAGTGAGGCAGGCCAGCAGAGACAGAAGGCCTCTCAGGACACAGTCGTCCAGATCCCCAAACTGGCAGGAAAACCACAAAACAACGGAGGCGGAAACAGAGAAACAAGACGTAAGAGGGAGGAGGAAAGACAAAATAAAGATGGAAATCAGTGAGAAAACCATCCAGGAAGCAGAAAAAGAGAAGGAGAGACATAAACACGGAGGTTAGAAGCAGTTAGAGGACAAAAGCAGGAGAGAGAAAGCTGCCGTCGTTAACGTCAGGATGGATTGTGAGCAGTCAGGTATCGAGTTATCAGACTCTCTGTCCGCAACAATAGCTCGGTAACGAGGTTCTTCGTCGCCTGAAGGCTGAAACTCTGCGACCAGTTCGACAAGATTTCGCTGCTTTGGGTGTAAAACTGCCTGTTTTCGTTCTGTTCCGGTTAAATCCTGAACCCAGCGACAAAAAATACAAACATAGGCTTTGTGATATTGGTGTAATCCACCTTTAAGTCATGCTGAGGAAACTCAATAATTTAAGAGGTTTTTGTTCTGCGAAGGAATAATCTGACAAAATAAAATAATGAAATTAATTCTAAATCCGTCCAGAATTACACAGAACGTCTCCAAAATGAGACAAAGATTTTCCAAAAAGACCTGAAACAGCTCAAAAATGACTCAAAACGGTCACAAAATGAGTCTTTTGCTCTTTGGAAGAATAATCGGACATTTTGGGAGATCAGATTTCCTGACAGATTAAAAATAAATGAACCTAAATTGACTCAAAATGGTCAAACATAACTATAAACATGTCCAAAGTGACTTAACACCGGTCCTAACTTACTTAGCTTTGTCTAAAATGTTTAGTATTACACAGAATGTGTCTAAAATGAGATAAAAAGACTTCAAACTGGTCAAACATGATTCAAATTTATCCAAAATTACTCAGAACTGTCTCCGAAATTTTGGGAAATTCTTGACAGATGAAAAAAAATGAACCTAATTTGATTGAAAATGGTCAAAAATAAGGATAAACGTGACCAAAATGACTTAGCACTTGTACAAATTTAAGGAACTTTGTTTAAAACATCTTGAAGCTTTTCCAGAATGACGCCAGATTCGTCTAAAATGAGATAAAGATTAGAAATTACTTAAATTTGTCAAAAAAAAAATACTTGAAACATCTATAAAATGACTCAAAATGGCAATAATCTCAGTCTTTTGCTCTTTAAATGAATAACCAGAGATTTTGGTGAATCTGATTTCCTGACAGATTAATAAACAAACCTGATTTTCTTCCCTAAACTCTTCACATAACGAACTCTGCATCACGTTTCCTTCAGTGCTTCTGTCCGATCGTCTCTGCTGAGGCCTGACTGATGATCCACGGCTAATTTAGAAAGCGTTGAGTTCAAAACTCCTCAGAGACGGACATTAAAAGATAATTTCAATTCACATCAAACGGCTGTTTTCTCATTAAAGTGTCTTCCCCTCCGTCGTACTGATTCAGAGAAACGGAGTTCAGCAATGAGCTCGTTTTACACGAATCACTTTAAACCTTCAGTCTGAGTGAAGAGAAACTCAGATATTAGAATGAATGAACATTTAACAAACTGCATCGTCTGCGTGACGTCTCAGGATCACAGACACACTCAGGATTGTTTCTAAGTGTGAGGTTAACGTTTACTGTGGGGACGGACACAGAAAACACTCAGAATCACTCAAAATTAATCCGAAAACAGAAAAAAAAACCTTCCAAAATGCCCAAAACTTGTCAAAAAATGTCTCAGACCTGCCCGAAATTAGTAAAAGATTGTCTGAAATAACCGAAAAATATCCAAAAAGACTCTAAATTCGTCCAAAATGCCTCAAACCTGCCAGAAATTTGCTTTACATTTGCCCTATATTACTGACAAATCGTCCAAAACAACTTAAATCATGTCAAAAATAAATGCAAATCTTCCAAAAT